GTTTAATGTATAGAGTGTCTGGTGCACGTCACGGGTGTCTGGTTTAATGTCACGGGTGTCTGGTGCAGGTGTCTGGTTTAATGCCACAGTCTGGGTCACGGGTGTCTGGTTTAATTTCTGGGTGCAGGTCACGGGTGTCTGGTTTAATTTCACAAGTGTCTGTTGCAGGTCACGGGTGTCTGGTTTAGTGTCACGGGTGTCTGGTACAGGTCACGAGTGTCTGGTGCAGGTCACGGGTGTGGTTTAATATCAGAAGTGTCTGGTGCAGGTCACGGGTGTCTGGTACAGGTCACGGGTGTCTGGTTTAATATCAGAAGTGTCTGGTCATGGGTGTGGTTTAATATCAGAAGTGGTACAGGTCACTGGTGTGGTTTAATATCAGAAGTGTCTGGTACAGGTCACGGGTGTCTGGTTTAATGTCACGGGTGTCTGGTACAGGTCACGAGTGTCTGGTGCAGGTCACGGGTGTCTGGTTTAATATCGAGTGTCTGGTACAGGTCACGGTGTCTCTGGTGCGGGTCACGGGTATCTGGTTTAATATCAGAAGTGTCTGATACAGGTCACGGTGTCTGGTTTAATGTCACGGGTGTCTGGTACAGGTCACGAGTGTCTGGTGCAGGTCACGGGTGTCTGGTTTAATATCAGAGTGTCTGGTACAGGTCACGAGTGTCTGGTGCAGGTCACCGGTGTCTGGTTTAATGTCATGGTGTCTGGTACAGGTCACAGGTGTCTGGTTTAATATCAGAAGTGTCTGTGCAGGTCACGGGTATCTGGTTTAATATCAGAAGTGTCTGGTACAGGTCACGAGTGTCTGGTGCAGGTCACCGGTGTCTGGTTTAATGTCACGGGTGTCTGGTACAGGTCACAGGTGTCTGGTTTAATATCAGAAGTGTCTGGTACAGGTCACGAGTGTCTGGTGCAGGTCACGGGTGTCTGGTTTAATGTCAATGGTGTCTGGTACAGGTCACAGGTGTCTGGTTTAATATCAGAAGTGTCTGGTACAGGTCATGGGTGTCTGGTTTAATATCAGAAGTGTCTGGTGCGGGTCATATTTATCAAGGTTCGGGTCAGTGGTTCTTCATCACAAGTTCGGTCTTGGTGGCGTCCTAGTTTTGCTATTTCCATTTTTCTTTTACCAAGTTGAAAAGAAGATACGAGTACTCGGTTAATTACTCTCTCTCTCTCTCTCTCTCTCTCATTGTTCGGGGAGTTTCGCGTCTCCACGGCCGATCGATCGTTGGTGACGGAACGGATGCAATTACAGTCAACCCTGCAATAATGAAAGGCGTTGATTGTTGCCTTTGTGAAGTGGAGGGAGTCCGTTCAATGGGTTTTAGAATCGCCCTTTAAGTTCACTTGAATGGCGTTAAACCTTATCTCCTGCGTACTTAGAAACGAGTAATTTGTTTGTGTGAAGTTATAAGACAGACCTACAACTACCACGTCTGCTGCTACTCTGGTCAGGTGGTGTTTCGTGGAATGTAGGAAAAAAGTCACGAGAAAAAAATCACAGGAAAAAATCAAAGGAAAAGAGTCACAATGTATATACTGTATATAAGAATTAGTTTTTTAAGGTTATTGTACAGTGTTCTAGTTTACGGTAGAATAACCTAGGTCAAGATAGTCCTTCTTTAACTGGAAGGTAATTGTCGAATCCTCTTTTTTAAGGATAATATTGTAATCATTCTCAGTGAAGGAATGCAGAGAATTCATTTAATAACGACAGGTTGTGTATGTGCAATTCGGTAAAATGTCTTGACTGGTGTGACGTCACGGTGTGTTTTGTTACCCCTTCAGGTCAACTGTATACTGTACTGCAGTGGTTCTCAACCTTGTTTGCCCCATGCACCCCTTTCACCATATGTCAGAATGTCATTCCCCCCTCCTTTCCAAGATTGTCTGCCTTAAAAAGTGCATTCCAAATAATATGCATATAATACTGAAAATCCTTTATTTTTTCCATATTAGTACATATACATTTCCCCGAAAAACCTGAATTCCCTGGGGAATTCCCCACTGGTTGAGAACCCCTGCTGTACTGGATATAACCTTTTTCTTCTGTAGGTTCTGCCACTATTACCAGAGTTACCAGGTTGGCGATTTTGCAGCTAAATTGGGCTAGTTTTGTATCTAGTTGGTGGTAAAATTTTGGCGGGGGGGGGGGATTCCTCCCTCAAGTTTGCATTTTGGGGGCTGGCTATTGAGTAAAGTGTGATAACTAAATCATTGCATAACCAGTAACATAAATATGGTTTGAGCCCCACAGCTGCTTGTTGATTGGGACGCCCATAATCGACCCAGCTGCTGAATGGGTACTTGACTGTACAATTAGGAAAGAAAAAAACAGTGACGGCCACACAGTTTCTTGTTTTAGTTGTCTCGTCACTGTGATGTATCCACACTGGTCTGTAGCACCCACTGTCTCTCAGACCATGAGCATCTCACTTTTCACCTTATTTAGCACTGTCTCCTCAGTATGTCTCACTTAGCAGTGTGTACTCACACTAATTCACCTGTCACCTTATTGTCTACTCAGAATATCTCAGTTGTCACCCCTAGTGGCCACACTATCTCAAGCTGTCACTGTCTAGTCCGGCTGTCTCACCTGTCACTTCATATGGTACTTTCTAGTGAGACTTGCCTCCCTTTATCTTGCCAGCTCCGTCTAGATTAATGCGTCTGCTGGTCGTAAATTAGTGTTGGTCCAGGTCTTACAGTCAGGTTCCTTCATTAGCCTAATGAGGAAGAGAGAATTTGTGATCCACTTCGGAAAATTTACATATTGAACCTGTGTATTTTTGGCGAGATAACCTTCCGAATCTTGTCGTGTTTTAGGTGTATTATCGAACTAGGGGGGTATTATATTGATAACTGGACTGATGGGGTTGTAAGGAAGAGTTCATATGTATTAGTGCGTGTTTCCATGTACAGTGATGGCGTACCTGTTTAGAAGCCGCGACCTTTGAAGAACAAGTTAAGACATTTTAGCGAGTCGTCCTGCACAGCCTCGCTAGTCATGATTCGATTCCGGCTTTTTCTTTAGTAAATCAATAAAATGCCGGCCGTGGTAATTTGGTACAGCGACTTGAAGGAAGGAGACGCGGCAGGGAGGAGAGTTTGACGTGGTAGTGGGAGGAAAGAGACACAGAAAGGTCGTATGGCAACTGTCATATACGAATAGTAGTCATCGTGGGTGTGGTCTGGTAGTTGGTGCGGGACATCCATTACAACAGGTGTAAACTTAACATTCTGACCTTCCTGAGATTCGTACAAACTCAGGTATGAATTTGACCCGTCAGTTGTGTGTCGTGTAGATCAACATTTTTTTCCTTTATTGTGCATTTTGGGGGAACTTGTTTGTGTAGTGAAATACAATTTTATTTTTGTAGATAACGGGACTTGTAAAGGCGTGAGTTGTAGTGGTTGTATTGATGGTGGTAGTAATAGTGGTGGTAGCGGTGGTTGGGTAGCAGTGGTGTCTGTGTAGGAGGGGCTGAAAGAAGTGGTGGTGGCGGTAGTAGTGGAGGTTGTGTACTTGTAGGAGGGGAAGAAGGAAGGGGTGATGGTGAGGTGAAGGGTAGCTCGGCGGGTGGGGTGTTGTTAAACCATCACCTGGTACTACTTATGGTGTTTTGATGACTTTCTGACGTTGTTTATACCCAGACACGAGCTGGTGGGCAGCACGGGCTATTACTCGACTCCTCGCAAATGTGGACTGTGTACAGTAAGTGTGCAGTAGGTTTGATCTTCAACTTATTGAGAACATTAGTCCTTCGCATTATTTAGGGAGTGTGTGCCTCCCTTCTCTCTCCTGTTATGAGTCTTGTAATTGACACGATGTTAAATAATATATACAGTATACTGTATTTTTTTGCCATCTATAAAAAACATTCCTCCTCTTTATGTTCCCTTTGGGATTGAAATGTACGAATCTTGTATTGATAGCAGAGGTGATAGGGGGCTCTGAGAGTTAATATTTCGTGTAGATATGACCCACATCGGGGCATGAGGGCGAAATAATAATAATAAAAATAATAATAATAATAATAATAATAATAATAATAATAATTCATAAAAAATATATATGTATATAAAATAAAAATATAATAATAATAATAATAATAATAATAATAATAATAATACAAATAAAAAAAATAATTGTGAGAAACGATATATGTATGTTGTGTTGTCAAAGCAAGAGAAACAATTGAGACCCTGCAAATGTGTGTAAATGAGGCAGAAATTCAGATCAGCAACCTGGGACGTGGTCACAATTTTTGTGATGCCATATGGCAGCAGGGTCTACCATTAGACAATACATTAGTGGTAATACTCTATAGCAATAACAACACTTAAGCTGATAACAGTGGGAATATATTGTATCAAGGATAAAACTAAAACAATTAACCAACACAGACTTTATCAGAGGAGGAGGAGGAAGGGGGGGGGGGGTGTACAGGATGTGAGAAGATAATCCGGCGACAACAACTTCTCATATCAGCCATGACTCTACAAAGACAGAAGGAGAACATGATAAAAACAACTGCACATCTCGACTGGAATTTTTCAATGTACCTTCACACACAGAGCTCACACTACCCATGATCAATGTACCTTCACACACAGAGCTCACACTACCCATGATCAATGTACCTTCACACACAGAGCTCACACTACCCATGATGTACCTTCACACACAGAGCTCACACTACCCATGATCAATGTACCTTCACACACAGAGCTCACACTACCCATGATCAATGTACCTTCACACACAGAGCTCACACTACCCATGATCAATGTACCTTCACAGTCAGAGCTCACACTACCCATGATCAATGTACCTTCACACACAGAGCTCACACTACCCATGATCAATGTACCTTCACACACAGAGCTCACACTACCCATGATCAATGTACCTTCACACACAGAGCTCACACACAGAGCTCACACTACCCATGATCAATGTACCTTCACACACATGAGCTACACTACCCATGATCAATGTACCTTCACACACAGAGCTCACACTACCCATGATCAATGTACCTTCACACACAGAGCTCACACTACCCATGATCAATGTACCTTCACACACAGACCTCACACTACCCATGATCAATGTACCTTCACACACAGAGCTCACACTACCCATGATCAATGTACCTTCACACACAGAGCTCACACTACCCATGATCAATGTACCTTCACACACAGAGCTCACACTATGCATGATCAATGTACCTTCACACACAGAGCTCACACTACGCATGATCAATGTACCTTCACACACAGAGCTCACACTACCCATGATCAATGTACCTTCACACACAGAGCTCACACTACCCATGATCAATGTACCTTCACACACAGAGCTCACAC